AGCTCTGGCCGCCGCCGCCATAACCGGGCAGCAAGTGCAAGGGGCTCACCTGGCGTCGCCTTGGCGCTCCAGCAGCCGCAGCAGAGAGAAGTTGTTGGGGAGGCAAACGGGAGCAGCAGTAAACACCTGGAACCGGAATAAAAGGAAATCCAGCACGTTTCGTCAACTAATTTGAAACAGTTTGCGCATGCAATGCGCGTGAGGGAGGTTCGCTAATCTCGCACACACAAAAACTGTGACTCACCGTGCGACACGAAGGGCATTCCTTCCTCGTGCTCTGCTGGAGGCATTGCAGGCACACCGTATGACCGCACGGCACCACCTTGGGAGTGCGCCCCACCTGGTCGTACTCCGATAGGCAAATGTCACACTCCATGATGATGTCTATCGCCGTGAGAGAATAAAGGTGCACCCTTTGCGCTGCAAAAGAAGGACCGAAAACCACTATTCATCGCCACGACCACGAGCCACTCGATATGGAGAACCGATTTGTCATAAAATCTCCAAATTTACCATAAATCTAATAACCGAACCAACAACCCTAAACATATTGAAACATGTTGCAACGGTGAACCATGCATCAAGTTAAGGCTAGGCTCTGTGCATTCAACACTTCAATGACTTCATTGCTACTCTTCAATAAATTAGTCAACATCTCTCTCAAACATAACATCATTTAGTAAGAAAATCTACAAACTACTTTGCAACTGAAAGTTACCCAGTGTAAATAGTAACATAATTAAAAAATGCAGAGAAACCCATAGAGAGTCAAATGTAAAAATCACAAGTGAGAATCTTTTATCATCTTTTTGTCTACACAGTGTAATACATGTCTTTTTATTACTTTGGTGTATGATTTCAGGTTACCAATGGATAGAAAGGCTGTTCTTATGGGAAAAACTGGAAAACCATCCCCAGTAGCGCCAACCGCATTAAATGCGCTGAAAGGTAACACCACCTTGGTGATGCTATTAAAGCGCATGACAGCATTTACAACACATTTACTGCGCATTTAATGCACTATACGCCCATTTAATGCATCACTACTGTGTCACCTTTAATGTGCATTTCAATGCACATTGAGGCGCATTTAATGCAGTAGCGCTTCTGAGGATTGACAGTACACATATGTATCAAATCTAATTGTGCCTTATTTTGCCAAACTACAAGAAAGCAGTAACAAGACAATTCCATAAACATGAGGAATCATAGAATAATGTACTTACTATACATTACATAATATACTTCTTATGTATATCTACATCCACAGATAGATTCTAAAAAAATTATCAAGTGTAAACCGCATATCCCTCGAGCAGAACTGCATCAGAACTACGTTATATGTCCAATCTATAATTGGAGTTTTAGACGGCTTAGGCGCATTTTAAGCGCTTTATGCACATTAGAGGCGTATTTTAGATTGGACAAATATCGCAGTCATGATGCAGCTTTGCTGGTTTTGCTACCTGGGGCATGGTTTTATAGGTTAACATAAATATACAGTGCCAAGGGGAATGGGGGAGGGGTCGCTAACCTAGTTTAGATAGATCTTACAATAACTGACTCACTGACGACAACCTTGCTCCGTCTTTTACCTAAGAAAACTAAAGGTACGTCGGAAAACGAGCCTCTTTTTCGCCACCACTAACCTCTCAGGCAACACCCCCGTGGGGTTGACGATGATCGAAGTTAGTCACTTTGTGTGTAGTCTGCTTTACCAAGTGTCAGGCTGAGGAGCCTTACTGTTTTACCGGATACTTTTATTACAGAGCTGGAGAAGCTTGTCGGCGACACGATCCGTGTCTGTGTTAACGAATGCGCTTCAAATGCGAGTACGATTGTAGACAACCTGGCCTGAGCCTGAGTCTGTGACGTGTGACGTAGACGATGGTATGATGGGGTGGGGGCGGGCGACAAGTTCGTTCCCACAGGAGGGAGACAGAAGGGGACGGTACGGTGCACCTAGATTGTCCGACCCATTTTTCTCAGACCTGGCGATTTTTCCCAAATCCCAAAAAGTGCTGTCCGACCTAGGTTTTGTCCGACCAATTTTTTTCCGACCAATTTTTCTCCGACCTCGTCCATATGCTGAAATTTGGGAAAACGTGGCTCCTGCACTTATAGTTTACCGCATGTTTGGTTTTCCTACCCCAGGGGGCCGTAGCGCCTAACGGGCATTGCAGGTAGGCAACACGCACGCCTGCGTGCGGTACAGCATAACCACGACGACTGGCGG